GGAAGGAAGGAAGGAAGGAAGGAAGGAAGGAAGGAAGGAAGGAAGGGGAGTCGAAGGGCCGGGGGAAGAGAGACCAGGGGGCCCACAGCATAGGATGTGAGAATAGCCCAAACCCAGGAATTGTTCTGGAGACTTGCTGATTTTACTGTCAATGGTTAACTGGTTGAAGATCAGAACGGAAACCATGACACACACCCCACTCCAAGTTTGGGCTTCCTCCAAAACCATTTCCCTTCTGCATGTGGAGGCTGTGGGCTGGGTCAAGTTTATAACTAACCTTCAGGAGACTTCTTCTGTTCTCTGGAGCCCTGAGTGAACAGCTATTCCTGAACCTTTTGCTTCTGCCTTTGGTACATCTTATCTTGGATTCTATGGGAGGCTTTGAGGGTCATCTGTACCCTGGCCTGTCCTTATTCCTCTATGGACTTTATCATGCATGGCTTGTCTCCAGGGCCTTGATACTCAACTCCACTGTCCAATATCCACCACGCCGTCCTTGGAGCAAAGGAAGATGGGCAAGGCTACGGCAAATGTATTACATCGGCTTTCTGAAGATATTGAGTGCCTGTATTTTAGTAGCTCAAGAGATGCATAGCATTCATGGACAGCTGGTACTCATCAGCAAGATGTATCATCAGAGAAATTTTATGTACCGCAAACAGTGGCAGCACCTCACTCTCTACACATCCTTCTTCCTGAGTGGGTGTGTAGATGTGGTCAGCCAGAACCTGCTGCCCCAGAGGTGTGTAGCTCTCGAGAAAGGCGCCCAAACCCTGAGTCTGTTTCTCTTTCTGCCCCTGATGGTTTCTCATATGCAGGACACAGAAGGAGTGGAGCTGCAGACTCACATGCTTCTCACACAGGCCATGTTGCTGCTGACACTAGTGGTGACCATAGAGCTGTGGACTTCCGACATGTGGTTGATCTGGATGATGAAGGCCTTTCTGTATCTTGTCACAGGCTCCTGGCTGATGCAGATAGGCTTTATGCTGTACAAACCAATTTCTGGCTATAAATGGATGGACGATGATGAAAATGACATGGCATTTGCCACTACTTTCTTCTGCTGGCATGTAGCCTTCAGTGCCCTCCTGATGATCTGGATCTACGGCTTCTCCTTTTTGTGGTATTGTTACCTCTTCACTGATGCTTGAACCTGGGTGCTCCCAAGTGGTTTCCTATGACCTGCCTTCTTCTGGGACATCTGGATGAGTTGTGAGAGGCGAGTTGTGGGAGAGGTGGGATCAGACATCCTTTCTTCAGGTGTCCCAGCCTGAAGCAGCAGACTGGTGCAAAAGGCATCTTCTCTGCCCCCTGGCTTTCCTTCATCTAATTTGCTAAAGTGTACAGAGGAAAGATGAATGAAACAAGGGAGACGTGCAACTATGACTTTTACTCTCAGTGCACCCCGTTTCTCTCCCCCTCCCCACCTCCAAACACAGCAAATGCTTGCCCTGCACCTCTCTGAACCCCTCACTTCCTACCGTGAGACCTCTACAACAAACTGACTAAATCCTTTTTGATAACTGTCCCTCACCTTACCACATGGAATACCCACCACCAGTCACATTCAACACATCCTAATAATTTAGCCCCATATGACCACCTCATCATTTCTTGTTCTGGACCTCTGTGATGCCCATTCCAAATCCAGACTGTTGGTTGAGCTACATGAAGTACATAGAATTGTTCCTGATTCTCTTTTATTGCTTTGTGATTTGTCAGACAAAAAGGCAAGCCCTTGTGAACAGTTCCCACCTCTGCTGGGCCTGGTAGAACAGAACAATCCCCTGAAAATAAGAGCGGTCCACAAGGGCCTCCCCAGCACAGGTTCATCCCTCTGCTTCTCACCCACTGCTCTATACTCATCTAAATCAATTTCCATGTAGTAGATCACCTGGACTCACTCCTTTCTGGTTATCGTATATAATAAAGTCTATGACTTACGTGTTGGGCATACTTTTCTTTCTAATCTTCACAACTCTAAGGTTTATAAGCGAAGTTTATAATGCATATTCCCTCTCCCCTCTGGCTTTATATGTGAGAAAAGCAAAGTGTCTAAATATTTTGTTATGTCACATAATACTATGGCTGGGTGCCAAGGCAGTAAAATTTGAGGAGCTAAATTAAAATTTGAGTTGAGCTAAATTACTGAGGAGTCTAGGACATAAAGATTGTCCCTCACTCCTGACCAAGAGTAAAACATCTTGCTTAGGAGAGAGGGGCTGGAGCAAGGATTTCAGAGGGTTCTTAACCTCATTTCCTTTTTTCTTCCAGTTCCTAGGAGAACTACACGTGGTCTCTGATTCTAGCCCTGCTCTTCCTTGTTTGGAAGTCAAGCTGTATCAGGGATGAGTTGATATCTGGTTGTTAGGGACCTTTATCCTCTGGTTTGGGAGGCTTGTGAACGGTCTGACCTATTACCAAGGGAAGAGGTGCTTTCCATTTAGATGGAATTTAACTGAGTCTTTGCATGTGCTTGGGTGTCCGGCATGTGAGCAGCATCCACAAGGGCTTACCCTGCATCAGTGTGATCGTGAGGCCACAGCGCTTCTCTCTCCTGGAAAAGGAGAAGGGTCCCTGACATAAAAGTAAAATATGCCTCAGGCATAACTCAGTCTCCATGCTTCCACCTTGTCCCGGGACCACTGGAACTCTACAGTGTCCTTGGTGGGTTCTACCCGATTCCTGACTGTCACCTCTGAGTCCCATCCCCTGTTTCTCCTCCACACCTTGGATATTCGTTCAGGCCTTGGTTCAGTCTTTCAGTCTTGCATTTCCTTAGTATCTTGAGGTTGGGGTGATGGACAATCTGCTTTTCCTCTACAGCCATTGATGTGGCAGAACTCTGGTTTCTGCTTCACTCAGGCCTTCCCCTTTGTTATATTAAAGGCATATTTTGGAGCCAGGCATGGTGTCACACTCTTCCTGTACTTAGGAAGCAGAGACAAGAAGATTTCATGTTCAAGGCCAGCCTGGGCTACATAGCCAGGGATAATCATGCACAATTGTAATCGCAGCACTGGGAAAGTGCAGGCAAGAAAATCAGGAATTCAAGACTAACCTAGGCTACATGAGACACTGTCCTGAAACAACAACAAAATAAAGCAAACAAAAAATGATAACTTGAAATACTTAGTGAGACCCTGCCTTAAAAAACTAAGGGCTCGGGGATGGAATAACACTTACCTAAATGTGTGAGATACTGTTCAATCCCCAGCACTACAAAAAGCATATCTTTTGGATTTTTGTTTTTGTTTGTTTGTTTTGAGACAGGGTCTCCCAGTAGCCCCTGCTGGCCTGGAATTCACTGTGTAGACCAGGCTGGCCTCAAACTCACAGAGATCCGCCTGCCTCTGCCTCCCCAGTGTTGGGATTAAAGGCATGAGCCACCACGCCCAGCTTTATTTTGGATATTTTTAACTTAAAAATGAACTCTTCATTGCTAGTACAACTAGATTTCTTTATGAGATGATATCTTTGACTAAATAGGGGGAAAGTCTTATGTGACGATTGAAAAGTAAGGCCAAATACAGTATTTCATACTCTCTCTCTCTGAAGATGAAGGCACAGACTTCATTCACGTGCAGACTTGCCTTATTTTGAATATTTTTTAAGTTCTACTACATACTGATCTCTCTCTCTCTCTCTCTCTCTCTCTCTCTCTCTCTCTCTCTTTCTCTTTCTCTCTCTGAAACAGGGTCTCACTATCTACGTATCTTTGCATCCTTGCCTGCCCTGGAACTCACTATGTAGACCAGGCTGTGCTTGAACTCAGAGATCTGCCTGTTTCTGCCTCTGGAATACTGGGACTAACGACATGCACCAGCATGCCGGGCCTTGATGAGCCTCTTTTGCAGCAAATTAATTAATGCCTCCAAATACTATTATTTCCCCTCACATGTATCTTCTAAGTAAAGTGATGAATATTCACAGGGGCCTACAAAACCAGGAAGAACTATGGTTAAGGCCTGGTATTATGATGGAATAAATAGGTGGGCCTGCTATTCGGGTGACAAGGATCTTTCTCACTTCCTCTCATGGTAGCTGGGAACACTGTGACATCAATCCTAATCATTTTGGAAAGCAAAACCAACTAAGGGTAAATTAGAGGAAGGATAATAAAACACTAAATTAGGTTTGGAGAGAAAGGTGTAATACTTACCACCTTCCACCAGAGGACACCATCTTCACATGAGCTGAAAAGGACAATTGCTCTTCATTTGGTATTGAACTATCAGTTTAAACGAAGTAAAGAGCAGGTGTGGTGGTACACACCTTTAATCCCAGAACCGGGGAGGCAGAGGCAGGCAGATCTCTGTGACATCGAGGCCAACCCTGGTCTACATAGTGAATTCCAGGCCAGCTGGGACTACAATGAGGCCCTATCTCAAAAACTAAATAAATAAAAATAAAACAAAAATAAAAGAAATGAAGGACCAATGGGTCAAAACCAGGAACAAAAACATTAGCAAGCCAGGCATGGTGATGCACACTTTAATCCCAGCACTCCGGTGCTAGAGGCAGAGGGATCTCTGTGAGGCCAGCATGGTCTGCTTCCTGACTTCCAGGCAAGCTGGGGTTACAGGGAGACCCTGTCTCAAAACAAACAAACAAGCAAAACACATTAGCCGATGTGCAAACATCCATAAACATCATGTTGATCTGTCTCTTGTTAAAGGTGTGGACACAAATATACACACAAATAAGCACAGAATTCAATGAATGAGATCTTAAAGGTGTATATGTGTGTCTCATTCATTTAGTCTCTGATCATCCTTTCTAAATGGGATGAAAAATCATTGAGTTTTAAAGGGACTACCTCCTACTATGGGTACCAAAGGGAACAAGACATTTCCTCTCCCAGCCTACAGAGTGAGAGTTTGGACAAGGACACCCACCCTAGACCCAGCAATCACGAACACAACCAGAGCTTTTCATGTTGGAGAGCTGACATCAAGGGTGGTGCCTTGACAATGGATGTGCAGCAGCAGGGAGCTAGCAGCCCTGGTACAGTTGAGAGCTGAAAGAATATGCAGTTAGTTGAAAAAGTGGCTGTGATTTCTATGGAAAGATGGTGCTAACTGCCAAGTGACAGCAGTGTGGTTATCATAAAAGGCAACTGCAGTATAGATATGAAAATGATCCAACACGTATTATTTCAGTGGTGATTGTTCACAAGCAGTCTAATAAAATCTTTCCTGGAGAATATAAGCTCTGTGATGGTATTTTTGACTATTTGTTTCTTTGTCTGTTTTGTTTGAGACAGAGTCTTACTACATCCCACTACATAGCACTGGCTGACCTGGAATTCACTGTGTAGATCAGGCTGGCCTCAAACTCATGGAGATCCCCCAACCTCTGCTTCCTGAGTCCTAGCTTTAAAAGAGTGCATCACTATGCCAGGCTTGACTGTTCTTTTCATTGGTGCATCTAAAACAGCTAGAAAAGTTTCTGTCCACAGAGTAGTCAATAAATATTTGTTGAGTGAGGGAGCTGGAGAGATGGCTCAGCAGTTAAGAGCACTTACTAGTCTTGAGGAATACCAGGGTTCAGTTCTCAGCACCTATATCAGGCAACCTACAACTACCTGTAACTCCAATTCCAGGGGATGCAACATCCTCAGGCTTCCGAGAGTACCTACATTCAGGTGGTACACCTACACACAAGTAGGAACACAAACATACACATAAATAAATCTTAATTTTCTTAAAATTTGGTTTATGTGTATAAGTGTTTTATTTTATGTATTTGAATTGTGAGCCACCACATGGGTGCTGGGAACCAAACCTGGGTTCTCTGGAAGAGTAGCCAGTGCTCTTAACTGCTGAACCATCTCTCTAGCCCAAAGTGAATTACTCATGTGGTGCACATACAGACAGCCAGGCACACACACATACACATGAATAAAAGAAAACAAATCTTAGAAAGTATTTGTTGGGCGAGTGAATTAGCAAAAAGCTAAAACGAACCATCCTGGCAGAAAATAAAAATATCAGAACCCTAATTCAGCTTGAAGTCTTACTTTGCCTTTAAATGATAAGAAAGTACTTTTACCTGTTGCAAGAAGCTTGCAGTACTTTCAAGTATTTGTTGTGAATTTTCTTCCTAATATTTGCTAAAGACGGACTCCCATTTCTCAGTAAGTGTGCACTGATGTAAAAGAGATGCCCAGAGACTGGGGAAATCATCACATGTAGAATTTGATCCAAACCACAACTAGTCAAGTTCAGACCTGAGATATGTACTCAGGTCTTTCTAATTTATAAACCAAAAGTTCCTATATTTGCCTGATGCTAATAATTATTCAGGGTGCCTTATAAATAGTAGAGACTCCTGGGTCTCATCCTGGCCGTTATAATCAAAATTACTGGGAAAGAGTCCTGGTAATGATGAAAATGGGAGACAGAATTAATTGATCAAAACAAGAAGCCCAAAGCAACAGTCTTGCTGGAGGCCAGGAATGCCAGAAGAAAGTTCCTGATCCCTTGCTCTATCTTTTGAATGAGCATCTCTGCCTAGAAGCATGTGACGATATGACTGAAACTCCAGTGCCAACACCAGCCCCTTCAGGTCAACAGCTCTACAATCAGATCTCTGGATCTTCGTGGTGAAAATGGATAATATCCACTCCCTAAGTCAAGCCTACCTTGTAAATGATTTTAGGGTTACGTCTTCAGAAGAGGGAATGTTACAGTAGCCTTGATCAGGGCTCATTAAAACAAAGCTACTTCCTCTTGGTCGAAAAGAATCTAAGTTCTGTCTTTGACACTGGATGGAAACCTAATATTCCAAGCTACTCAAAGCATAAGGGTCAATCTAGAAAGGTTTGTCAATCACGGTAGAGACGGCCCTCTAGAGGGCTGATTCATCTTAAGCCATGAGACGGAGAGGAACAGTCATCCT